ACAGTTCTTTTTTTACACGTTAAATGTTCTTCGAAAAACGGTGTTATTTTTTAATTAATTTGGGTATTCTATATTCAAATAATTTTTTATTAGAAAAGTAGGTCAAACAATATTTCGAAAAAAAATTAGCTCGCACATTTATAAATTTCGTCCAGTGAAGATAATTTTGAAAAAAATTATGATCGTTTGCAAATTTTTCTCCTTTTGATTGTTATTCTTCCATGTAATTTGAATTTTTAATTCAATTTAATTATTGAGAAAACTGTGTTTTTAATAAAACATTAATCATAATAAAGTATATCTTACGTAAGTTTTACTAAAATGTATAGAAATTTGTTCTAAAATATCTAAAACTGTGTAAATTTTCTAACTTGTCGTACCTGTGGCAAGTTTGTTGACCCACTTTACTATCATGTGATTGTTTGGCTCATACGATAGAAAGTATGATTGCATTAAAGATGTAAGTTCTGTCTATTACTGTCACATTTCTATTTTATTCAGAAATATTACTTTCCTAGTGTTTATATCAAATTTCATTTAAAGAAAATCTAGTGTTAGAAGTAAACTTGTTGTGTTTCTTTTCTATTGCATTTTTCTGTTATATTTCTTATACGTTATCGATAAGAATGAAATTTTATTACTAATATACATATGTATATTAGGTACACTTAATGATTCAAATGCTTCAGTGTTAATTGATAAATTTTTTGGAAGAATACACTTTATTCTACAATTTTTAAATGTTGTTAAGATATATCACAAAAATTTCGAAATAATATAGTAATAATTTTGATATATCGTTTTGAACATTCAATTTTTCTGGATACATAATTTCATTTTTTGATAATATTTTATGACTCATCCATAGTTTCTTGAAATTTAACTTTTGTAATAGAATGAATAGAATTTTTTTACTGAAATTCTATTCTTTTATTCTTTTGTCGTTTTCCGATTGCAGATTCTGGTTCTCGTATCAATAGCTTAATTAGATATATAATTTATAGAATAATTAATATTCATGTATTTTAACGTAATCAAGGCTTACATAATATGATGCTGTTCACAATGATTTCTAAATTATATTCTATTGACAATGATTCTATTCTATTCACAATGATTCTAATTATATTTGTCATATTATTGCATTAATGTGTAATATACTACATGCATTTATTCCACAAATTAATCTTCTAATTCATAGAATTAGAGACAAGTTTGTGGAATCACGCTCAATTTTGAAAAATGAAATTTCACTTGCTAAGTCTTCCTAAATTTCTACATCTGATTTCAAAAAGAGAGGAGAAGAAATTCTGTAATGTCAGATGAAACTCGTGGCACATATGCAAACATGTAGAAAATTTAGGCAAAAACAGGAAAAAGTGAAACCTTACTGTATATTAATTGGTAAATAAATTCTACCATGCGAGATTCAATCGACTCGGAATGAATCATACGCGCATTACATTTCGCATCTACAATCCGTATTTGCAATTCTAATTCTAATAATTTGCATGCGGTGTTAATTAATTCGATCATGTTCAATGTTAATTTGTAGCATGAACGCTGCGGCGGCAAAGGAGCAGTCTAATTGTAGAAACAGGAAATCATAATGCAAGCTAAATCGATTATACCGTTTTTCCACGTTCTATCTCTCCAATGTTACTTCTGGATGATAGTTATCGCCAGCTATAAACTTGATGTAGTCTATCAGTGGAAACAGCTTGAATATGAATGGCCAAGAAACGATACTGAGCTTCTCTTCCCAGGATACAAACAAGAGGATAATCTTCCTCTTGGCCTTGAAATCACAAGTACCAGAATTTTCGTCACTGTGCCGAGATGGAGGCGTGGTGTCGTTGCTAGTTTGAATTACTTTTACAGAAATGGTAATTGTCATCTATAATGGACTCGTATTAATAACAAGACACACCTACATTTTTGTTATTCCTTACAAGTTTTCATAATTGTTCGTGGAACGGTTATACACACTTGTAACACCGGTTAAGAACCTTCTACTGACGTAAATGTATCCTTACCTACATGTTTTATCTGTTTCATGCTTTCAATTATTTATTCCATATTAAGCACATGATGAACTTATAAGTATAAAATAATGATTCCAGATACACGTCAGTCACCCAATTTAATTCCGTATCCTTCTTGGGAGGCACATCAATACGAAGCTGGAAGTGTACCAGAGATCATTTCAACGTTTCGAATTCGTGCAGATCGCTGCGAAAGACTCTGGGTTCTTGACACAGGATTTACCGATATTTTAGATAGTCCAGAGCAGCAAGCACCACCAGCATTACTTATCTACGACTTAAGGGACGATCGATTGTTACGAAAATTCGTTATTCCCGAAGATCAAAGAACACCCGATTCTCTTTTTGCAAATATCGCGGTCGAAGATTATTCTTGCGAAGATACGTTTGCTTATCTGGCTGACTTGGGTGGTCCTGGCCTCGTAGTTTACTCGTGGAAGTCGGAAAAATCGTGGCTCGTTAAACATCACTTCTTTCAACCCGACCCTCAAGTTAGTATCTTTTTATTATTGTAAAGGTACCGAATGATACAATTCTTAATTTCGATCAGTCTTAATACTTAAATCGTTGAATATTTGGAATTTTTTGGAATTTTGAATTTAATTTAATTTTATTACTAATTTTTATCAAGGAGAATATAAAATACAAAAAAATTTGTGATGTGACAGATTATTATAATTTTCTATAACCCCACGATATCACTTGAAGGTGTTAACTACTTTTTCGTATAGATTGAACTTCGTAATTCAAATCAACAAAATCTAGATAAATCGAGATTTGAAAAAATGTAAATAGTATGGAAAAAATATAAATTGGATTGTTTGTACTTTGAATTTTTAAAATTGTGATTTTTAAGGCTGAAGAATTCAATGTATCGGGAATTTCGTTCCAATGGACTGATGGTCTCTTCGGTATGGGTCTTGCATCAACTAACGATGGCTATAGTATGATGTATTTCCATCCACTTTCCAGCACCATGGAATATTCAGTTAGTACTAGATTATTGAGAGATCCTGAACGCGCCACTTCTTTAGGTGAATGATAATTTTTAAGTTAAATTGAGATATATTATATATTCATGATGTGGAGTCTCGTAAACTAATATAACGGATTACTCTATTTTGCTATATTTGAGGAAACTATGTAATAAAAATAAATCTAAGCTAAGAAAAATTGCCAATGTTTTATATTTATGTTTTATATAAATTACTTCAAAATTCAAGAGTTTCATAGACTTTCTTCGGCTTTACATCTTGAGAACGATACCTTGATAACAGAGTTAATTAATATAATTAATTTTTATGGGTTTCAGATAACTTTCATGAATTTCATGCTCTCGGATCTCGTGGACATAATGGTCAAAGTAGCGTGAGCTTTTTAGATCCAAACACTGGAGTTCTTTTTTATGCATTAGCTAGTTTGAATGCTATTGCATGCTGGAAACCTCGAAATATGTTCAAGCTCGAGCAACAAGATTTTATTTACGTAGATAACGTTACAATGGTCTTTCCTAACGATTTAAAGGTAAAGATTTTCTTTGATTTCAAGATCAATGAAATTTCATCATTATTAAATTGCGGATTTTTATACTCATATATCATGAGAAATTAGAAAATACACATAATGTATATAATATGCAAATATAAAATATCCAAAGTAGACTATTCATTATAATATGTAGATAAAATAGATTTGTATTCAGGTTCTATTTTTAATTATGTTTGTGAAAATTTTAAAAGTTATAAATTATATTTACGTGGTATCGTCTTGAAAAATAGTAAAAGGTAAAAAGTAAAAACGGCATATTATATTTTATATAATGCATTCTATTTGTTTTATCTTTTTCATTATTGAATCATATTTATCTTTCTATTATTGAATCATACGTTATTTTTGATAGCAACTTCTAATTCTCTTACCTCTAATTTCAGATCGATCAAAATGGCAACATTTGGATACTCTCGGATCGTTTGCCTGCTTTTATGTATTCTCGATTGGATCCTGAAGATTATAATTTCCGAATTTTTATGGGTTCGGCTAAAGAGGCTATAAAAGGCACCGTTTGCTTGACGAATTTATCTTCAATTTCAAACAATTCGTACGGTTCTATGATAGAAGAGAAGAACGTTCATCTTAAACGTCTAAAAACAGTCCAGAATTCCAGTTATGTTCATAACTCTGAACTAATTTCTATATTGATTACCGTTATAACACTTTTCGTGAGAACATTTATTTGAAAAGTCTTTTACTTTTAATCAAGGCTGTAACAATTTATTGAATTTCTCTCAAAATATCGAGAATTCGAATTTCAAAGAATGTCGATGCTTTTACATGAATAGGGAAAGATCGAAATGAGATGCTTAAGTAACTAATTAGACCATAAGAGAATACTCTCAGTTTTCTACGAATTATGATATAATCGATTTTTATGAATGTTAAAAAAGCTGTTTTATTTATAATTAATTATTCTTAATTTTTAAATTTAAAGCTGTTATTTAAACTAAATTTATCTGAATTATACATGACTATTTGAAAGAAGAGTACCGGTCAGATTTTGTTTAATTAATGATTTTTATAAGTACTTAAAAAAAGAAGTTTGTCAAGTACTAGGACTGATCACATAGTATTATTAGTTATATTATATATGTTCTCTGAAATAATTACTAGTATCGAAAACATTTTTCAAATATGGAGAAATTCATGCGACTTTAAGGAGAAATTCATGCGATTTTATGGAGTTATTGAACTATATTGTTAGAAATGAAAACAATAATTTGTTATATCTAATAGTACTAAACGAATAGATGAAAAGTTACAAATTTATTACGTGTAACCGATGGAATTAGTTCTATTTACGTATGTAATATGTAAAATTTGAAACGTATATAAAATTTGATACTTAACAGTTTTCTAATGTTAAAAATGGAAAATATAATGATAAAAATAGATAATTAATTTTATTATATTAAAAAAAACTTGTCATTGGCATCCAAAATGCAAATGATTAAATTTAAAAGACTTATTTGATAACAAAATGACATTAGAGTTATCGTCATTTATGAGTTGTATAAGTATATATATATATATATATATATATATATATATATATATA